TCTCCCTCTCCTCCTCTCATCTTCTCCATGAATTCACCTTCCCCGCTAAATGTATTGGGGAAAATGACGGCACATGACTTGGTCTCACGTCACCCATTAACACATTCAGTTTCTCCGCTAGATTTTGCGGGGACATTAACGTCACGTGACCTCAACGTAGTTAAATTCCCCGCTAAATTTAGCATGGAACTGAATAGGTGTTAAGATCACGCGACGTCAACCTTCCCGTTAAATCTTGCGGAGAAACTGGATTTGTCCGCTAAATTGAGCGGGTAATTGAATTGGTGTTAATGTCACATGACGTGAATTTTCCCGCTAAATTTAGCGCTGTTACGCCGACACCGACGCCGACGCCGGCGCCGCGAAACCCGGAAGCGGGCGCCTAAAAGCCGCTCTCTAAAAATATATTAAGAAGCTTCCATAATGTGTCACTACAACATCCGATCATTTAGGTCAGCTCGGTGTGATGCAAATTTGAGATTTATATAAATATCGTTTCTTTGCAAGATATAAAATAGACACAAATTTAGCCGAATATCGCATTAAAGACTTATAGAAGTTAATGCATAAAATAAATAGATACCAAACACGAATTAAAGAACCTTGGAAAGTACTTTTTTTAGAACATATTAAAACAACCGAAGTATGGGATATAATTTGCTGACTACTCTGAACCAGCATAGTGGGAAGGTTATTGAACTTAGGAATATATCGGTGACCATCTTACGGGGAATGTTAGATTCAAATGTTTATTTAAAAAAAAAATTGTCCGCGACAAGCTTTAAATTTTGTTGAGCTGATGTCTTCTTTCGAGTTTATTTCAGTGAGGTTCTAACTTTCCGTATATGCTTTCACTATTTACGGACCAACTGGCCTCTCTGAACGAAGAAAACAAGCGCCTTAGGACTCAGATTTCGAAAGCTTCCGAGCAACATGTGACGCTCCTCTGCTCGCTGCGCGATGATGTAAAATCATGCCGCGCAGCAACGGCAGGCTTGAGGAAAGCGGCGGTCAGCGATGCTTCGAAACCGGCTGCCACGGCCCTTGAGCGGTGTGGCGGGGGTCTCTCCCGCCTTCTACTTCACCATGACTAGCTGACAGCACGGACTGAGCAGATTCCTCCCCCCTCTCGGGATGCCAAGAGGACCGATTGCTGGAGCTGGGAAATCGACGAAATTTCTGCGAACTTCTGGCTCCTCTCAGCTCTACGCGCGATCATCTGGCGGGCATGGTGGGAATCGAGATATACGCGAAGATTTGCCTGCCTCCCAGGTCGACGGACATGATGAGCGAACGATTCATCCGATGCCGATGTCCACACGCACGAGGCTCGAACCGCTGCGCTGACTGGGGCGTCTGAGACCTGCAGGTTGACCGTTGCTCCCCCGTCGGCAGGCCGCAAGCTTTGTTCGTGACCAAGTTAGCGCCTGACATCACCTGCGAAGATATCCTCACTAATCTGTCTCACGTTTGGGTCGAGTAACTGGAGTGCCGGTGACTGAAGGCCTGCTCGTACAACACCTACTCGTCATTTCATGTAAGAGTAGCAGCCGCGGACTTCGGTAAACTATCAGACCCTGCTCTCTGGCCGAAGTCATGCCTTTTCAAGCCCTCAGAGGTATTCTTCAGGATGATTTACTCCACGTGTCCGAGGAAGTGGTCAAGGCCACTGCAAGGAACACTCATGAGTAAGACTAGACTTTTTTATCAAAACGTTCGTGGTCTTCAGAAGAAGGCCGATTGTTTCTTTTTTTCACGTTACCGTATCTAAGTACCCCATTATCTGTTTGACGGGAACCTGGTTGTGTCCCACCATCAGCTCTGAAGATTACCTTCCGCCCTATTTTGCAACATGGCATCCGACACCAGCTCCTGAAATACCTCCGCGAGGCAGTTCAGGAGCTGGTGGAATGGTTGCAGTTGACAGGCGGTACAACCCAAAAAGACCCGAGGATTCAGTAGGGTTCCCTGAGTGTGTATGGGTTGAAATCGAGTGACAAAGCGAGCACGTGTAATAATTGAAATATTCTATCTTCCTTTTCCAACAACACCTCATGATTTTAACAGGTGTCGGATGCCAAGTTGACATTAAGAATACGGTGAATGAGTTGCGTGGGTGCAATTTTTTATAATGGGGGTATTTAACGCTCCAGTATTTACTTGGACAAATTTAAATGCTTACACTGGCAACTTTTATTGCCAGCAGAAATGCAGCCATCTACTGAACTTTGCTTCGTTTTTAGATCTTGGAGAACACAATTATGTTTGTAACAACCAGGGAAAGTTCTCAGATTTATGCTTTCCTAATACGGAACGCGTTTCCATCGTTCGGAGTCAGTCCACATTAGTCCCTAAAGATATATATCACCCTGCACTCGATGTAGTGTTTGTTCTCACATATTTGACCAGTTTGTGCCCCTCCAAGTAAAATATGCCTTCCTGGCGATTCGTATAATTTCACGGCAGGTGACTACATTGGAATGTACCATTATTTTATGGATGTCAACTGGGCATCCGTTCTGGAGACCATCGATGTAAATGAGCAAGTCCTAACTTGCTTTCCTCACAACTAAACACTCTCTTAATAAAAAACAGCTTCTCTCACAAAATAATTCAAGAAAAACGGACTGCCAAGGTGAGAAGCAGAATGCAAGAGCTGTAGAAAACAATGCAAGCATCTAATTAACAGTGATGAAAAACTTTACCGCAATTCTTTAGATAGAGATCTTGTGAAAGATAAAAAAAAATTCTGGAGGCACTCTAGGTCTCGTTTTGGGAAAAATCTGAGATCGAAGATATCTATGGATTTTCATAGAGACGATGTGGGGAGCGTACCTGCATTATTTGAAGCTTAACTTAGTTCAGCCTATAAAAGCGGTTCCCACTGCGCATCTCCTACATTGCCTTACCTGGCTGGGTTCGGTGACCTACTCAGCAGCATTCGTGTCGATGAAGAATGTATAAAGAAAATGAGTCACATTATCTGCGGTGAACAACAATGCTTAAATCAATCATGCAATCATTGATACGATTCAATCATTGAATTTCATGATAATATTTAAGCAATACTTAGATCTTATTATGAAATATTCACGCCCCATTTTGTGCGCTATACTTATTAACTTCTTTAGGTCAGACATAGTTCCAGAAACCTACAAACATATCCGTTGTGGTTCCAATATTAAAGACAGGACACAGGGCTCATGTCTTAACACTAGACCTATCTCTCTCCTTCCTTCGCTTCTCAAGCTCCTTGAAATGGTCATACAACAATTCCTATCTTTTAAGTTCCGTAATATAGCCATCCCTAACCAACGCCGCTTTATGTCCTGGCAGGTCAACTACTACAAATCTCGCGACTCTTATAACGACAACTTCTCAGTTCGATTGTAATAAAGGCTAGCGAGATGTAATCTACTTAGACTTAAGCAAGGTCTTCGGCGACGTTGTTAATAACACTATTATCTTGGCTATTCCCTCTATGGAGGGTGTGGCTCAGGTCTTGACTGAATAAAACACTATTTGACAAATGGAATCGCATACGTCCGGCTTAACAATATAGCCTCTTCATTCTACACGGCTTCCTCTGGCGTTCCTCACGGATCTATTTTAGGTCACCTCCTGTTTTCTATTTGCGTAAACGGCGCTTCCTCCGTTTTTTTTTTTTATTTCTTCCCTTCTGCAGTATGCAGGACACAAAACTTTACACAAAATAGTTAGCATTAATGATATCATTAGGCGTCAAGATGATGCATGTTTCTTTTACAACTGGTGCTCGGTTAATGCTCTTTGTCTTAACCGATCGAAAACCAAAGTTATGATATTTCACGGAAAATATCGAATACCATTTTCGCTTATAACATGTGCAGTGAATTGTTACCGCGTGTGTCTGAGATGATGGACCTGGGGGTTACGTTGAATCCAAGCTCGTAGTTTGATGATCACATAACAAGAGTTGTAAGCTCGCCTCTTCGCACGTTAGGCGCCACATGTCGTATAAAAAAAGAATTTAAAAATCCGTTTACGTTTCTGACACTGCACCGTTCGTTAGTGAGATAGCAACTTGAGTACGCCTCAGTTGTGTGGAACAGCATTTCTAAAACAAACTTCTTGGCACCCGACAGAGTTCAAAATACGTTTATTTCCATTTTTAAACATCGCTACGTTAAGACTGGTGCACATCGCTTCAATTATGGAACTGAATCCGAACTTGTGAACTTACAGATCCTGCATCAGCGTCAGGCTAAGGCGAATATGATGCTTTTATTTAAGGTTCTTCACGGTTTTATCAGCTCTCCCAGCCTCTTGTTAGAAGTTAGCCTTAGAGCTACATGTGTGCCTACACGGCATCCATCATCGTTTTATACCTTTCGGCATTTTAATCGATTAAGATATATACTTATATCAGCTGAGTTGTACAACATGTACTCTAATGCACTCGATATTTTTGGTTCGTGCTGCAGAACTTTTGATCTTTCTGTTTGCAAGCAATTAATGCTTGAAAAGGGTTGGTAAGTACTTGTGTGGTGGCTAATATTTTATGCACTTGCCTTTGTTTAGAATATGCAAGCTTTGGTGAAGCTTCTGCGTTGTTCTTCCGCATGTTCCCACTGCTCGAACTGTCTTCTAATTTGTGACTGTCCTAGAGTCAGACTGGCGGACTGCGTTTCACCCTGCCCTGTTGTTTCTGTTTAAATATTTTGTTTCTGTCACAAGTCTACCAGCACTAAGATTCAAGGGTTGTTGTTCCTGAACATTCAAATAGACACTGATTGAATATTATTATTACTATTATTATTATTACTATTATTATCATCATCATCACCTTGATACCTAGGTCCAACTATTGACAAAGCAATACCCTTACTTGGAGCTCCATCCCGGTATTGAACTGCGACTAGAAATGTTGGCGGCTGTTCTACGCCGCGTCCATTCGGCTTTCAAGGAGGTAATCCACGCGATACAAGCCTGTTCTGTCCCAGGGTGCTCAATGTACTCACCCCTATCGGTCATCCTGGACCCATTTGCATACACATCTCGATCTGCCGATGGCATCGTCCTGCCCCTTGACCAACCGCAACATTCGACCACGTCGGCCACGGCTATTTTCTTGCGACCATTTCACGCTACGCTTTCCCGTCGGCTTTCTTCGACCTTGTCATGGAGGCCTATACGGGAAGCCGGGCACTCCTGTGTTGCCATGGTGCACTGGGACCATATTTCTCTGTCTAAAGAGGTGTATGACAAGGTTTCCCTGTCACCACCCTTGTTCGTGCTAGTAATTAAACCTCTCATGCGCTGTGGTTTAAAGCTGCCAATTGAGAGGTCTACTACCCGGTAGCAGCGTTTTCAGCGTCTCTGCCTACGCTGACGTTGTCACCTTATTCTTGGAGAAAGTGACTCTATTTTCAAGGTTTTTCGCCTCTTTCACGGCTATGTCGCGCTATCGGGCGTGGACCTTAACGTGGACAAGACAGCGATAATGCCTCTGAGATGGTGCGACCGGAATCTGCCGCCCGGCGTACAACTCGTCGGCAGTTTGTGCTACTTGGAGTAAGTTTTCAACCGTACAGACTCAGCGCCGACAACTAGAACCTCGCTGGCCGGGCAACTCCGCCTGATGATCGACGCCACCTACACTTTCTCGTTATCTATTCTTGAACGGGCTTTCCTCATTATATCCGAACTTTATGCTAAAGTATGGCTCCTGTAACACGTTCAACTGCCCGCTCGAGTACAAGCCGAAGCGATCCACTACATGCTTTCTCATTTTTTTCTGGGAGAACGAGATAGAGCTGGTGTTCTACGCTGTGCTTCACAGGCTCCGCGCGTACGGTGGATGGTATAACCCAGATGTAACTTAGTGGCTCGGACCATGACCGTTCGGACGACGCTCCGGGCTTATAAGATTCACCAGTGTAGCGAGCGGGCACCCTCTTGCTTTATTGGCTGGAACCGTTCACGCGGCATCTTGACAGTCACCAGCCGTTCAACCCGTACATGAAGAGAGAAACTCCCAGCCGACACCACGCGGCCATTGGGGCGCATGCAAGGCACCTCCAAAACTAACTGCAGCTCCCCGATTTGACCTCCGAGTTTGCCGCACGGATCGGGGAGCTTCGTGTCATCGATGGCGTTTCACTGTCGTTTCCAACCGAGCAGCTCTGGCAACATCCTGTTCAGTCATAGGTCTCTAGCCCCCTGGAGGATATTGAGCAAAAGACTGAGTCCGGCATTCACCCTATCCGGTATCACCTCTTCCATTTGCACCTGGCGACTTCGCCGTTTTGCACGTACTGTTTGGTGCTGGAAACAGCCGCCGATGTCCCAGGGGAGTGCTGCACATCTCGGCGCTTCTGGGTACGAGTAGCGAGCATCTTCCAACACCGCGTTCTTGTCCGGTATATGCGTGAGCGCCCAGGCCCTCGTGGGCCCCAGACCCAACTGCGTACTTTTTTGACAGCTCTGGTTCACCAGGCGCTTCGGAATGCAAGATGCCGTCCTCAGCACAATCATGCGCGTTCGGTGCCCACCGTCGCTTTGATCCGTACCCTTTGCACGTTTCCTGTTTTAGTTCTTGAGGACAAATTGGCCGCACTTGGGGAGATATTCTTCTAGGTCATATGGTACTTCCGGGACCTGGATTGGGTCCGGTTGGGACGTTTTCAAATGCGCGGAGGAAGGCTGGCACATTTATGCTAAACTCGTTTTTACCTCATGAAAAAAGGAAGCGATGGGCGTTGCTCACATGCTGCGCGAAGTAGTTCTTACGAAATTTGGTTGTCCAAAAAAGAAGCGATGTTTTTGGCGTTCGAAGCGTGTACGTCTCGATAAGATAACATATATCTAATGTAGAGTGCACGCACCTACAAATACCATATTTCTATACATAAAAGTGTGAATTAGTAAGGGCTTGTGAGGAGCTTGAACTTTTTTTTAGAACAGTGCTTGAGCTGAAAACGAGTATCTGCCTATTTATTCGTACATACTGCGTCCTCAATTAAGGCCTTCGCTAGAGGAACAAAGAGCGGTTTAAATAAGTGAACGTTAAAGAACAGAAACAAAACGTTAGAAATATAGATTTCACAATCACACATCAAGGCAAGTTTCCTTAATTCTAAAATACTCATCATAAAGGAGCGCGTGCGTAGATTCATCAATACTGTTCCTTGACTCTTTAGAGCGAAGAAACAAAGAATTTTTAGAACAATTTATATAAAATTGAAATGGAAGAATCCTTAAAGCATGAGACCGTCTGATGCGAGTGACATCTGTGAAATGAAGGTGCGCCGGATGTCATAGTCCATTAACAATTTTATGAAACATTTTCAGCCGCTAGATGTTTATGGCACCCGTGAATCCGATGTAGCGATGACAAATGGAAGACCCCGGTACTGGGGTCTTCGTACCTAATGCGGATTTTAACGCTTTGTTGTCGTTTTGAGTGCCTTTTTGTATTTTCGAGAGTTTTGTTGTCCCTTTGAGTTTAATGTGCTCAGTGAATCCTTTCTTCATGTGTGTTTTCGTCAAATATTGTCTTCAATATGCACTCCTGTATGTTTGTGAAAATAAGTATACCGGAAGTTTGTGTCAACGTAAATTGCCGAGAGCGCCTCCTTTCGGCGTTTTCGATAAAACGGGTTTATAATGCAGATGAAGCCTAGTTTAGGTAGATTTGAATATTCTCGGACTTCAAAACTGATGACATATTTCTTCCAAAAATGTGCGAATTGAATGAACTTCCCAGAGGTTTGGTATAAAATATAAACATAGTCTGATGCGAAATAATCTAGGAATGTGATTTATATTGCTGGAGAAAAAACACAGGTTAGCAAAACTTCGTAACTAATTGCTTGTTCACTGTGCATGCAGAGGAGCAGTTTGAAATGGGGTGGAACTAAATTTACCGATGTTTGAAAATATCTTTCAGGTCAATTGGGGGTGTACTGTATCTGTTCTAAGCTTAGGCTGGTTATTTTCCGGGCTATGTTAGTTTACATACATGCGTTCGACCATCAACTATCGAGCGAAAGAGCTCTTCAGAGTAACCTTAAACAAGGTGTATTGGAAGTAAGTTTTATTCTCAGTGGGCTAGTGTTTCTTTTTGTTCTTCTCGTTGATGTTTATTGTTTGTTGCTCAACATAAGCATTGCTGCTCAGTTACGCAGATTCAATTCGGCATCAAAGCCCACTTTCATTTTGTTTACACTTTCTACTTCCCGATTGTGGATTTCTAGTACAATTTGACATTATTGCTCCATTTATTGCCAGTTTACACCTCTTTTTTCAGCAGGAATTGCAATGTTGTGGCATTACGTTACGATAACGTTGAGAACATAACATTACACAAACATTTGCTGCGATGCTGTTGCGACGAGTAGAGGTAATACTGCTGTGATGTGGGAATTTCGGGCCATTAGCCAGATATCCACAATATTAGCAAACTACACTCGTGAAACGTTGTGTCTACATTCAACGCTACTTGGGAGTATGCCCCAAATCATCAAACTTTATAAGGTGAGTTAGATCATTTGACGGGGTTAGCTAACCCATTTCACCTCTTTTTTCCTAGCCCCGATGGCCCCTAACTTAGCCCCAAAATTTACAAAGACAATATTTTTTTTAAGAATCTTGGTATCTAAAAAGAAAAAAAAAAACGCCCTGTGTATTGAAATATTCTTTTCAGTTTGTCAAAAATGAAGCTCGCTGGATTAACGCGACTTTCTTAGACTGCATTGAACACTGTAAATAAAGAGAAGAATGCTCCTTAACTTGAGAACATACCTGCAAAATTGAGCATGATTGATATCATCGTGCTGGGCCACGCCACCGCTGCCCCGTTAGTGTTGAACACTTCCATGAACCCCACGTAGAAAAAGCCAGAATTTTCTGATCCGACAGATATGGCGACAAATGCCAGCGCACATATTACGGGGACGTGCCAGCAGGTATCGACACCAGACCGCTTGCTTTTTTGTGCGTCTTTCATCGGCGGCAACTTCACCATTGATATCATCGTCACTCGAGCACTGGTTCTTCTAGGCTGCAATTCAAACGATAACCAAAAGCTACAAAGGCAAATCGTTTGTTTTTCTTTGCTCTTTGTTTGCCGCTTTTGGTGGTTGTCAACATTAAGAAAGGAATAAATTAATGATGGTTTGTTGAGGCACTTTTTTGTGCAAATACGAGGGCCGTAATTTTTAACCTCCAATGCACTGAGTGAAAAGAAACATAAGAAATAGTGAATACAAATGATTTAATATGCTCAACGTTTAGGTAGATACTGTAGCTACATATCCACATAATCACCGTGAATATTTAAGAAACTGTCACGACATGGCACCGGGTTTTGGATGAACTTCTCAAAACAAGGTTACAGCCTGAGTGCTCAGTTATTTCATCACGTGTTCAACTGGACTGTCAGTCCTCACACAGGCTCCTCCCTGACCTCTACATCATGGACGTCTTGTCGACCCTCTAGAACTTCGTGCAGCTTCCTTCATGCAGATTACACATCTGTGGCGACTGGCGGTCTGTTCTGCGCATTATTGAGTCACTGATAACCCCGGCTTACCATCTTTAAATCTTGCGGGGGATTACGTACAGGATGCAGCTAAATTTAGTGTATAATACAATTTTATCAGTGGTGTATCTTAAATTCAGGGTACCATGAGTTGACAATAAACAATCCTGGTTTTTGATCAAAAAGCGGATTTATTTAGATGAAAAAAAAACATTTTATTTTAACACTGAAAGTTGTCTTGTTGATTTCTCATCTCAGCTTTTTCTAATTTGTAGTGGCGTTTTTAACATGTTGCATTTTATCTTTACACGTCAACAACTATTCTTGGGGTGTTTCTTACCATGCCAACATTTTGTGCTTAAACACCATGTTACGAAAAAAATAATTAAGAGCCCTACAGATATACTGAAAATAAATATATGCCGCGCTGGGCGAGCTACTTAGGTTTTCATTTCTAAAATCGCAACTCGGTAGAAATATAGGACAAAAA